TCTTTTTTTTTACAATGCAGAAACTTTGAATGTGTGATCCATGCTTTTATTACATCTCAGTTGGATTATTGTGGTTCTAGGGGAAGGGGCCACAGAGGCATTGGCCCTAGCTGAAATCTGATTGGCCTCCTGAAGTGCACCAGTTCTGTCACTCCTCTGCTCATCTGAGAGCAATGGTGGTGGATGCAGTTCCATGTGTGAACACTAGTGGCGCTAATGAGTCAAATAGGAAACTCCTGCATGAATCTTACAGAAGTCTTCTTTTCTTCTTAAAGGTTGAACAAAAAGGAAAACTCTTTCAACTGATAAACAATGGCTGGATTTTCTCACATGCTGTGTGTTTGATAGTATTTTATCTATGTATTGAAAAAATGCATATAAAATTGATAAAGGGAATTTATGGTGCAGCCTATTTTTAATTACATTACAAGTGTTTGCACATGTGTGACTGGTTAAACGTATACACCTAACCAAAACCAGGGATTTGTGTGCAAAGATGTTGAACAAATACTTGACCCCACTATGAATATTGTGACCTATTGATGGCCCCTTATTCAGAAAAATCCTAGATCCACCACATACAGTTAAACTCTGTATGTTGGTGTTAGCCAGACCGGCTATTCACGACTGCAGTTAGTTCARAACRTTGTCTTTTAACACAMACAAAAAAGCAAGATCATATCTCCCCAGTCCTGGCTTCTCTTCACCGGCTCCCTGCTCATTTTAGAATTGATTTTAAAGTTTTATTGATAAGACTCTTTCAGTTGTGGCTCCTAAACTGTGGAACCAGCTGTCCCTTCACATCAGACAGGCTTCAACTCTTGGTGTTTTTTAAATCTCATCTTAAAATACAGTTTCAAAAGCAATTAATTCAGCATGAGAGTTGACGTTTCCACTTCTATGATTTGTTTTTATGGTTTATTATATTTGTTTTTATTGTTCTTGTGATCTCTTTTGACTTTTTATTATTCATAATATGTGAAGCACTTTAGAGAACAACAGTTTTAAATATGTTTGACAAATGAGGTTGACTTGACTTCATAGATTTTACTTTTGGGAACCATGATCAGTGTTGAATTAATGAGCTCAGAGAGGCAATATTTGACATTTATTTATAGTTTCTCTTGCTGTCCAGGTGTGCAGAGCCAGCAAGTGGTCTGTAAGAGTCAGGTGGATCTGACTGTCGTCTACAACCACTTCTGTGACAAGAAGAACAAGCCCAAGGAGAAAAGAAGATCCTGCAACACTGAGCCTTGCTCCCCCGTGTGAGTGCTGCTAAAAGACAAGCTTCTACAATCTGTCTGCTCAACCTGTTTTTATGTAACTTTTTTTTTTGTTATGTTTTGCTGTTTCTAGCTGGTGGAGCGGAGAGTGGTCGGAGTGCAGCCGCAGCTGTAACGGCGGTCTGCGGACCCGGGAGGTGTTATGTAAAAGAAGGATCTCCGTGACRGAGGAGAAAGTCCTGGACGACTCGGCCTGCACCGCTTCTCGCCCGTCCTTCACTGAGCCCTGCAGCAACCACAGCTGCCCCCCTGAATGGCTGGCTTTGGACTGGTCCGAGGTACAGACATGTTTCTTATTGTTCATGTGATTTGCATTGATCTCTGTGTTTATTAAATCAGCACGTTGCAGTTTGATTTAATATTTGGTTTGTACTTGATGCCACTTGAATGATGCAACAGTTTCTGTTTGAGYTGAACCAAAAACACGCAGCAGAAGAAAGCAACAGTACGTCAGTCTTAAATTACACAACAGCAGACATGCAATTTGTTTTACTATTAAAKACATACTGTTATAAATAAAAATTGACTGAATTCAGCATTCAAACTATTGTTTTCTGSTTTAGTTTATTCTCAACATTTTTAGCAAACTACTTTTTCACTTGCGTTATTTTGCCTGTTTATACATTTATCAGCTTGATATCATATGTTAGAAGTGCTTAGCTTGTTTGGGAAAAGTGTGCTATAGCTTTAAGTTTTTATACCTATACTTTTCACACTGTTTAACCTTTCTTAAATTATTTTCTATATAAATATATTCAAAACAATTTTTTAAACATTTTTCTCCTTAAAATCTGCTTCAGCAAACTTGCTATATTCTTCCTATGCTATTTTTTTGCTTTTTAGCTACTGTTTCGCTACTTTTAGCATTTAGCTACAATTTAGCTTTTAGCCATTAATAAGCTACTTTTAGCTTTTAGCTACCATTCTTATTCATTTAGTTTTTAGTTACCAATCTTCACTTTTTAGCATTTAGCTCAAGATAGTTTATGCATGTTAGCGTTTTTTAAGCAATTAGCTCATGATATTTTTGTATTTTAGCTACTTTTTGCCACTTTTAGCATTTAACTACAGTTTAGCTTTTAGCTATCATTTAACTACTTATAGCATTTAGCTACCATTCTTATTCATTTGTCTTTTGTTACCAATCTGCACTTTTTAGCTTTTAGCTTATGCAATTTTTTCTTTTTCATTTTTTAAGCATTAGATATGCCATTTTTTGCTTTTTTTTAGCTACTGTTTAGCTTTTAGCAGTCATTTGGCTACTTTTAGCATTAGCTACAATTCTTATTCATTTATCTTTTAGTTACTAACCTGCACTTTTTATCATTTAGCTACAGTTTTGCTAATTTTACATAYGGTTATACTGATTTCAGGGTTAGTATTTGTTTAGCTAATTTTAGTTTTGGCATTTATTAAACTAATTTTAGCACATGTTTYGATCATTTTAAATTTGGTATCTGTTTTGATAACTTCAGTTACTTATTTTAGCTTCCACATACTTTTCCTGCTGACTTTAATTTTTAGCTTGTTTCGTTCATTTAAGCCTTCATTCGACTCGTTTTGCTTTAACAGTTTTAGCTCTTCAGCTCTCAGCACAAGTTGGATTTGTCCTTTGAAGAGTCAGAATAAAGTTTCACTCAGTCAGCTTTGTGATATTTCTAAAAGTTTTATAAAGTGCTCTTTGTTGACTGCTACTTTTGTTTCTGGGGTTAAAYTCTGTTCTGGATTCAGTGAAATTTAAACACTTTAAAGTTTTGTGTAATATAACAATGTTACACGCATGAGAGGAAGTATGTCAAGTTGTTTCACAGAAACTCAGCGTGCTCCTCGCTTTACTTCCTGTACAGCTGTGGCCCTCTGCTGAGTAGATTAAGATTTTTCTTTTTTGCATAGTCATGACCTCACTGACCCTGCTGCTGCACCCTCCCAACTCCTCCATCTCCCTTCCTTCCTGCCTGACTTTTTCCCTTTTTCTCTTTTTTTTTTTTGTTATTATATTTTTTTCTCTGTCTGCAGTGCACGCCCAGCTGTGGTCCCGGCTACAGGCACCGCGTGGTGCTGTGTCGGAGCGGGGAGAGCGGCGACACTTTGCCAGACTCRAAGTGCTCCAAACATGGCCGGCCCACTTCCAGGGTGCGCTGTAACCTGCAGCGCTGCCCTCCCCCTCAGTGGGTGATGGGTCCCTGGGGAGAAGTAAGACTCAGAGCACTTTTTAGCCTTTTATTCTCTGCATTTAGATCTGACAAACTGTGCAAATATTACTGTTTGCACATATTTTTCCTGACTAAATCATCACGAGATGCAGAATTACTGATAATAGTCTTCATAGTTGTCGACCCTCAAGATTTTTTCAGTTATAAGTTGTTTACATTCTCACCTTTCAATTTATGAGCAATTTGTATAAAAAGAGKTTCTGGCATTTAACACCTGGCACCAAAAGGCAAAGGCGGATGGTGATGTTTCTGCTAAACGTATCATTGTATGTACATCTGTATATAAACAGCTACAGTTCAGGGCTGGCTCTAGCCAATTTGGTGCTCTAGGCAAAAYTTCAGGTGGTGCAATTTTCTAAAACTCACTGCCAATTTACCCACATTCACATAAAAGTTAAATAGATTTTAGCTTTGATATTACTTTTTATCTTCAAAAACCAATTCAATTAAAATAGTTAACTATGTAATTCATATGAGAATACCAGAAGATATGACAGCAATGAGGAACACCTGTTCATATTAAAAAGCAGCTGTGGAGTGAAGCAGTTCTAGGGGGGATTGGGGGTGTACGCGCCCTGAAATTTTTTTTTTATAAAAGACCTATTTAAAACTCTGCATTTTCCAGCCATTTGAAGAGCATTTTACTAAATACTTGGGATTAAAAAAGCAACATGAAATCAGTATTTTATGAAAGTAGAACACTGAAAACCGACTTTAACCTGAACTTTATCTGAGATCTTCCATTATTCTTATTTTGTTTTCTATTTACACACTGAGCATCACAAGTTAATCTTGACTGCATCATATGACACTTTTCTACTTTTTGTCCCCCCATTTGTAACGCCCCCTAGACGGACGGCGCCCTTAGCGTTTGCCTAAACTGCCTGTGCCACGGGCCGGCCCTGCTACAGCTGATTCCGTTTTAGAGTCAACGTGTTTCAAGATGGCTGAAAAACTCAACTGACTTAAAAAAAATACAAAATGTCTATAACTTTGTCCATTTTACAAAGCTAATATTTGATGCAGTTGCAGCTGAGTGTTTTATAACACGTCTCCTTACATGGCATTAGACTGCACCTCCAGCATGTCTCATCATCAGATGATCCCAGTGTAAGATAAGTTGGTGGGGGATATACGTTTTGTTTTTTTAAAGAAATGCTAAGCTTTTGCATTTCTTAGGGAAATTAGGAAGTTACAAGAAATGATGAGCTGTCTAAGAACTTGTTCAGACTTCAGGAAGTTGGTGTTTCATCAACATGCGCAAAATCACTTCACTTCATCATCTCTACACTCTGGTTTTTAAAGAGCCTAAACAAATTGTAATATTTAGGCTTTACGGGTGCTAAAATAAAGTCTTTCTTACCTTCAGAAATACCTGTATGATTATTTAAGTTTTCATCTTTACCCAGGTCTGCATGTAGTAATTATAATTGAACGTAAAATGTATTTATCTTTTATTTTCAGTGTTCTGCCAAGTGCGGTCTGGGGCAGGAGATGCGCTCGGTGCAGTGTCTGTCCCACAACGGCCAGCCGTCCACCGAGTGTCTGGAACATCATCGGCCCGCAGCCATGCAGCAGTGCAAGAGCAAATGTGACCTCAGTCTGCCCATCAACACGAACAACCCTGAAGGTCAGAGGTCAAATTCCCACCCTGGTAATCTCCGCTATCTTGCAGTTTAATTTTTAATTATTTTGCCTTTTTTTTTTTGTTAAGGGAAGTTGAATTGTGTGGTTTTTGTTCCACGTCAACCTCTGCGGTGAAGCTTGCCTTCCGCTCTTATTTTTGCAATGACTCACTGGCTGTAAGTCGCAGGAGTTTGACTCTCCAGTCCACGTGTTTGGTGGATCTGGAGGACTTACCAGATTTACTGGTCTGTCTGCAGTGGAGGGCACAGTTCCACTCAGCCGCTAACAGCGGAACAAATTTTTTGTCACATTATGCAGTTAGGTTTTGTTTTAAATCTGTATTGATGTTTTATTTATTGACTGTAAATCTGACAACGTGACTGAAAGGTCTTCGGCAGGGGTATAGAGAGGGAACCGGGCGGTGGAGGGGAGCGTATTCAAAGACTAAACCTGAGTCCTGAGGCAGTACAATGTTCTTCCTCACACAAGGTCTGGGTCCAAATTCAGGGGCTGTGTCCTTCAAATGACCCGGTCAATGTGGGCCGGGTCCTAAATTGGCAGTGAATATGGACGGCTTAGCCTTCATCTCTATTCCCGCCCGTACCTGCTAAACAGAAGCAAAAATAGGTCTAAATGAGCAAAATATCATTAAATTAGTCTTATTAATATTAGAAAATAACAAAATTAGTTTAAAGGCAATACTTGAACTAAGGAATCCGCTGTAATTTAACCATATAAGCTTGTTTGATTTCTGACCAGAATACACAGCAAAAATGCCAGTGTTAATTTTAACACCAACAAAGTGTCTATATGTGTCCACGCTCACTGGTGTTAAAATAACATTTGTGAAAGTGTTAAATTTTAACACTCATTTTTTTGTTAATTTAACACCAACCAGTGCTAAATATTCAACAATACAGGGTGTCATATTAACATTTCAACAGTGTTAAAATATAGTGCTAAAAGTGTCACCGGTATATTATTATTATCAAAGGAAATTGTGGTGTTATAAAGGTTAAAAGATACTACAAGGTGTCAATACACCATCAAATTGAGAGTGCAAATTTAACACTCACAGTTAATATCAACTCTTTGTAACACTACTTAGTAGTTATATAAAAGTATAATGGAGTCACCCTTCACACACCAGGACATACCTCTCACTCATGGTGTCGATTTCTGTCCAATAACATAAACTTAAAGTTGAACAACTTGATCAAACTGAACAAGAAAACTAACCAGAACAACTAATTTTTACTCTAATGAATGTCTTTAATAGTCATAAACAGGCAAAAACATAATTTCTGCAAGATTTCTCAGCAAGGAATGCTGGGTAAATGCTGGTCTGTCTGACGTGAGGTGGAAGAGGGCGGGGCTTTTCTGWAAACTTCTTTCAACACTGAATGGTGTCATATAGCAACACTGTTAAGTGTAATATAAAACTTAACTGTGGGCGGAGCTTATTTAACACTGTCCAGTGTTGAGACAACACTGAAGAAATCAACACTGTGAATTAACACCAACACTGTGTGTGACTGTACTCAGAAAGGGTTAAAACAACACCCAGAAGTTTAACACTGAAATTTTAACACTCCTGTTTTTGCTGTGTAATATTAAAAAAACACATCTMTGCAAGTGAAAAAAAGCATTAACAACACAACCGCTTTAAACTTTCAATTTTATGGATGTTGGGGGGGTGTCTTGTGGTCTTATTGAGTATATTTCATACATTTGTAGTTTCAGCTCTTGTCACTTTTCTTATTTTCTTTCTTATCTTCTCACTTAAAAAAAGTCACTGATGATGAAGAAATAAATAAACTAATAATATTTGGTTTCGTTTTCCACTGAAGTGACAAAAAAAAACTTTCTATTTTATACCGCCAGATTTTTTTTAAAAACTGTATCAATTTCTCTTGCTCCATCTGCCAAAACAAGCAAAATATAAATAAAAAATCGCCGGTCAGCTCGCAATACATTTTGAGATAGGCTTAGCCAAGAGGGATCCAGCGGAAAGGACRCGTTTGTGGGCTGCTGTTCGAAGAGTCTTTGAATTGGGACAGCACTTGGCGCGACGCTTTGATGTAAGCGGCCGACAAATTCGTCCTTCSAAGGATGCAGCCCTTGAATTTGGACTTCCAGAGTGGAGTGGACTCTAAGGCTACGTTCACACTGCAGGCAAATCCGACCCAAATCCGATTTTTTTGACCCATCTGACCCATATCCGATTTTTTTATGACAGTCTGAACGCGACAAATCCGATTTTTTCAAATCCGACCCAGGCCGTTTCAGTATGTGGTTTTAAATCGGATATATATCTGATGTTTTCAAAGTGACTGCAGTGTGAACGCTCATGTCTCATTCATCTGACTTTTTCATCAGGAGGAGGGGGTGAAGGATCGATAAGACACTAACCTCAAGTCTCGCTGTTTAAATCTGCAGCTCCATGTGTTTACAGCTCCAAAACACAAGTCCAGTTGCTTCATCTTTTTACTTTTCATTTTCCACGTAGATAGTATGATAATAACGAAGTCCAGCCTGGGTCGGGGAGAGTATCGATCCTAAAGTTCGATACTTGGTCGATACTTTTTTCCAGCTCGTAGATTCGTCGTTTACTGGAGCATCCCGGTCAGAGGCAGCTTCAGATATAAACACTGAACTAAAGAAGCAGGTCAGATAATTATTTAATCGGCTCTGATTAAACAACAACTTCTGATTCGATGCGCAAAATGTAGCATCCATGCTAGCTCTGTAAACAAACAAGCCGGCTGATGAGACGTCACGTCTTTTACTGCGCATGCGTGTCACATCAGTGCTGTGGAGCGTTCACACAGGGGTCTGATGCAGGTCACATTTAAAATGTAATGTGAACGTTCACACAAAAAGATCGGATTTTTTCAAAAAATCGGAACTGAGCATTAAGACCTGCAGTGTGAACGTAGCCTAATACATTAGCAGATTAGCATGAGTTTCTGCCATTTGTTTTATTTGTTTATCTTGTTATCGTTAGCCACATCACTGCTCGATCTGTTCCAGAAGCACAATCCGTACCCTCAGCTCATTTGTGCATGAGCTAAAAGAAACTGGCGGGAGGGCTTTGTTTTGATTTAGCATGTAGCGTTTCACTAGACCGCTTGATGACAGAATAGATTTGATTTCAGTCTTTCGTCAACTGTCGTGYTTCATAGAAAAGGCACTGTTTGCAACAGATGTGGATTTTTGTTCCAGGGAAAAAAATAAAATAAAACACAGATGAGATGAATTATAACATTGTCAAGAAAAACAGGTCCGTTTAAGTCCGCAATTTGATAGAAATAAATTTGTAAACATTGTAAATCTATATTTTATTAACATCAGGATGTATAGGATAATAAAACCATCTACAGAATTTAATTTAGCACACCTCTATAATTAAATATGGAAATAATTTCCAGTGTTTTTTCCTAAATCGAGCGCATTAACCTGTAATCCAGAAGGATTTCTTTTAGCTCATGTGCAAATGAGCTGAAGGTACGGATCACCTAGCTACAGGTGAGGACTGAACAGACAGTGGTGGGCACAGCTGTGCCCACCACTGTCTGTTCAGTCCTCACCTGTAGCCACAATGAAGTTAGGATCAAAGAGCTCCCTCCTCCAGGAGGAGCTCAGAATGGAGCCGCTTCTCCTTTGCTTCCGAAGGAGTCAGTGGAGGTGCTTCATCTGGTTAGGATGCATCCTAGAGGCCTCCCTTTCGAGGGTCTCTGGGCATGTCTCACTCGGAGGAGGCCCCCGGGGCAGACCCAGAACTTGCRGAGGGATTATGTATCTTCCTTGACCTGGGATTGCCCCCAGTTGGAACTGGAGAGTGTCACTGGGGGGAGGGGTGTCTGGGCCTGTTGCCTCTAYGTCCTGACTACAGATAAGCYGCAGAAACCAGTCATTGCTTAAAAAAGAGCGAGATGCRTTAAGGCTAAACAAATTAAAGTCAGTTGTTAGTTTGCACTGAGGAAGACTCAGCTGTAMTGCTTTTTATTTTTCCTCCCTGCAGAGTGTAAAGATGTGAAGACTGTGGCCTACTGCCCCCTAGTGCTCAAGTTCAAGTTCTGCAACCGGCTATATTTCAGACAAATGTGCTGCAAGACGTGCCAGGGACACTGACGCCGTGAAACTCACAGCTTCCACGCCCGGGTCACAACCACAGGAAGCCCCCGGGACCCTCACACCGAGCCTCTKTCAGACCAGTTTGGGACCTTACGCTTACGGTGACGCCGTTCTGTAACCGGACCAGAGGGATGCTTTTTTTTTAAATCCCTCCATGAAGGATCCAGGTCTGAAAKCTCCAGGCGCACGCAGCTTGGTCTGAGTTTAAAACATTCACTGGAGGAGGAGTTTCTGAAGCGTGGCGAGGCACAGAGGAGGAGGGAGTGACTTTCCTCTGTCGTCTGTCAGGACGAACCTTTTCTCTCTCTTCTCTCTAAAGCCTTCACTCTGTTATATTTTGGTGCTATGATGTGTCACTTTGGCCACAAGAGTCGTACGTTAAGCTCCGCTTAAAGTGGCCTAAAGTTTTATCTCTGATCTCTATGTTAGCAGGTAATAATTGTTCTGCTCTAAATGTTTCACTTTTAAATGGAGAWATAGTTTATTTGTCCACGAAAAGAATAGGTTGTAAAATGAAACGTGCTTCCTTATAGTGTTTTCTTCATTACACTGTTTTGTGTTCTTTCCTCTGTCGCATATCGTTGAATTCATCGAGTCTTTATTCGGTCGAACGAGCAGAAGTTATTTTGCACAATCAGAAAACTTGTTTTGTTTTTAAGTTAAGGGGTTTGTTTTGTTCTCTTCATGAACAACTGATCAGTGGCGTCGCCGTGTTCTTGCCATCTTTAGACGGTTTCAGGTCATCACCTCTGCAGCATCATGACAAGAGACTTTTAATAGTAGGACAATATTATGTCAGGTTATTTTTGCATTCCAGGCGGTGTGCGGTTGCAGACTGTTGCAGCTTAAGGTTTTTGAAAATAACTTGGTGTGTTCATCTGAAGATCTCTCTGGACTTCCCGGTTGTTTTTTTTTTTTTTTAATCAAATGTTCAAAGGTGCAAATATCGCTGCTTTTGAGTAGAAATCCAGAGCTCAGAGAGTCAGTTCTACCAGAAAAACACACATTTTGGGAGATTTTTTAACACTAGGTTTATTTCAACAGATGTATTCTTGGTTCTTTTAGACCTCTGTAAGACAAAATCCACTATAAACTTTTCCAAAATTATACCTAATTTTAAACATACAGGTAATAATATCGACATAAACCTTTTTATCTGTTCATGTGTGAATGCAACAGGGTCAACTCTTTTTGTTTTATGTACARAAGGCAAATATCAAGTAAATATGGGAATTTGTGTCTAAAAATCAATGAATTTTGCTCTTTTGGTTAAAGACTTCTTCATATTTTTAATGAGCGTTAGACGTAAAATGTTGCGCAAATAATTACAGCTACCTCTAAAGTTTAAACAGTTTTTTTTCCCAAGCACTCAGACTTCTTATCTATTGGTTTGGTCAACTTTTATTTTTTGATTTTTCCCTGAAGTTTTATTTAAAGCTTTCCCAGTTTATGTACAATAGTAGCTGACATCAACAAAATATTGTGCTTAAAAAAGAGGAAAATTGACGAAAAAAAAAACTTTCAGGTCTAAAAAATATATATATTTACAGCTGAAAGGCATGTTTTAAAAAAATTAAGGCCATCAGCAATGTATTTATGTATGCAGTATACCATATTTTTCCAACTAATGATAAATTGAGAATCACTTTTTTGACACTAAAATAGTATTTATCATGGATTCAGCTAAAGAACTGAAGCAAAATTAATTTGACAGACTGAAAAAAACAAAAAGAAGTCTTAAAACGATCAAGTAAACTTAAAATAAGTGAAAAGATTTAAAAATATATACTGGAAGACCTTCGGAAAGCCTGAAAACATATTCAAATAACTATAAACAAAACCTAAAGAAACGAGCCATRATTTAAGACTTTTGCACACTAATACAGTCGTTACAAAACACTCAGACACTGCTGAGTTCACCGAGCCATGAACTCTGATGTAAACGTTGACATATTTTCCCTTTTTTTTAAAAAAATATGAATTCACATTCTTTCATTTTAAACACAGGAAGGTAAAAAGAACCATCCGCCCGTCACCGGCATGTATTTGGGAAAGATCTCGTCTGACCCGGTTTTGTGTGACCCAGATCYCACCGAGCAGTTCTGTCTGGACACTTTTCGTTCTTTATTTCCGCCATTTGTCCATCCGACAGAAAATGAATTTAGATACGCTGCCTAAGTGGTTTTACAGATCGGTCATGGTCTCCTGCAGCTCACGTGTCGAACTCTTAACAGTTTCATTGTCAGGAGAGGAAGGGAGTGTTTGTCTCTGCGGGGATTAGCTGCAATGTTTTTGTTAATGGTGCTTTTGGTGTTGAATGGTGCTATTTAACTGCTTTCAGTAAGCAGTTACATAAATGTTCAAATCTATTATTTAAAAGCCAGTTTTGAGTATTTTGTTGTGCAGCCTTTTTGTGTTCATCCTTTAATAGTTTAACACTCATTTTTTTTATTTTGTGATAAACATTTTCCCTAAAAATCCACAAATTTTGTTTATTTCTTTTGTTTGTTTTTTTCATGTGGAAACAATGTTGGGGGATTGTGCTTGCCTACATTTGAGGTGGAGAAAAATCTGTGTAAAATCTCAAATACATTAGTGTCTAATAATCCACGTGGAGCCCAGAAACGAGTCTTATTTATAGTTTTATATTCAGTTTATCTTTGTATAATTAGGCTGATAACCAGGATTCACACTGAGCAGTGAATCTGTTTTCATCTGTGTAAAAAAAAAAAGAAAAGAAAAGAGGAATTGTTACCGTTATTGTGTTTTATCACATGCTAATTATACATGTACTGTATATTGTTTAATAATATAGGAAATAAGTCCGTTTGTTCCCCTTGTGCATCGTTTTTAAAAATAAATATTAAATTGTTAAAAACCAGGTTGATTTTAAGAAATGAGATTTTGATTTATTCCTTTATTTATTTATTATCAGGACAGCTCACCATCCAGGCTGAGGTTTAGGTCATCATGATCYATTTCTGGATTTGACTTCTTTCATGGAAAAAAAAAAAGAAGAAGAAATTAAGTAAGAGCTCCTTCTGTTTTTTTGATCTACAGTGTTTATAAATGAAACTGACATCACTCAGCAGTGGAATCAAGTYGCTTAAATTTTCCACTTTGTAATTTCATTAGGTCTCCTACGTAATAGAATAAAATTAAATGTAAAATGTGTTGTTTTTATTGAGCAACACGGATTAATGACAGCAATWACTATCCTCAAGTTGAAAGTTTATAAGCAAAATTTGTGACTTGATGCCAACTGTCACATGCCCATACAAAAAAAATCAGAAGTAAATGAAACTGGATTAAATATTTAATTCACTGCTAGTATTTTTTTTAAATTATTTTTACACAAACTGCCGTAATACCAGCTTAGAAGAAGCATACAACTCAAACTCCAACATGGTTTTCATTCAGGGTTTCTGCACACATCTGTCCATCTGTTTTCTTCCACTTATCCGGGGTCGGGTCACGGGGCAGCAGCCTAAGCAGAGAGACCCAGACTTCCCTCTCTCCAACCACTTGGGCCAGCTCATCTGGGGGAATCCCAAAGTGTTCCCAGGCCAGCTGAGAAACATCGTCCCTCCAGAGTGTCCTGGGTCTTCTCTGGACCTCCTCCCAGTGGGACGATCCTGGAACACCTCACCAGAGAGGAGTCCAGGAGGCATCCTAACCAGATGAACCACCTCAACTGGCTCCTCT